AGTCACAAGGGCAAAGAGCTAGTTCTACCAACCCTCTTGCTTTGTACAACGGCCAGAGCTGGCTCTTCTGGACGAATCGCGACAAGAGTGCGCTGACGGCTGGGAACAAGAAGGAAGCGGAAAGACCAGATTTGCTGGGCCGCATGAGTACGCTTAGTCAGATTAGTAGGCTGACGGATGAGAGGAGCGATGGGGAGGGGGATGGCAAGAAGTAATGCGATGTAGGCGTTCGTGCGTATATGGGGTTTGGAGTTCTGCAGATTACAAGTCTTTGGTGTCAACTCGCGCACAGGGTTGGGTTGGAAGTGTGTCGCAGCACAATGAAGTATGCAGATGGGAAACGATGTCCAGTTACTTAACAAACTTTCTCGAGAAGGTCCTCATTCTGCAATTCGCCAAGTATCAAACACAAAGTTCTCGTTTCACTTGTACCAATCATTATGTCACCAGATACGGGACACTGAGATTACAAGGTTTTAGTTTTTCGATTTTTATATTGTTTTCTGGTATTTTCTATTGTCTGATGTTTTTGTGTGGTTCAAGCAGTCACTCAAAGTGGGCCATGCTCCATGGAACCAAATCAACGACCAAAAGCTCAAACACCATGATGGCTGATCATGTCCGTGTCCAGATCTGCTGTTATCGTCCGCGCTACCTCGTAAATTGCAGGATCTGACAAGCAGACTCTACGCCTGCGACGTCATTTCCACTGACATGATAAGTCATGTCGAGCGAGCGGGCAATCTACTGGATAGTGGGGATAGCAGGGATAGCAGGGATAGCAGGGATAGCAGGGATAGCAGGGATAGCAGGGATAGCAGAGAAGGCCGAGGCGAAATCAGGGACATCGGTGATGAATTCTGTGCCAGTGGGCCTAACAAGCTGGCGACGATGACTGAAGAGGCGACGCCTATCGAAAGTGGCCGTCTCGTACTCGGGATCCCAGTCTGAGAAGGTCTCCGGGGCGATGATGGGCGTGGTGAAAGAAGAAGCAGTGGCGGTGGGAGTAGTGTATGTGGTAGTCTCCTTGACTGGGTCCCAGTCGCTGAATGTCTCGGGAGCGATCTTGGGGTAGTCGAAGGAGGAGGAAGACGGCGTTGCAAGCAGGTTCTTGGCACGAGTCATGGTCGCCAGCGTGCTGGATGCGACCGAAGCAGATTTGTCGCTGGGCAGGCAGGCAGCGAAGTCGCCGACGATGTGACGAATACTATGACTGGGTTAGTACATGCCGAGAGGGAGGTAGTGAAGAGCTTACCCGTAAGAGTTAGTCTCGGAGATGTCAATCTCATCGTTACCACGTAGCTGGCCGACGTTGGTAGCGAATCTGCATTCCAGTCAGAGAAATGTCACAGTAAATATAGTTCGTGGGTGAACTCACTCGATGGGCCAGTACTTGGAGAACATGGCGCAGTGCTGGACGACGGGGACGTTGTTGCGACGCTGCATGTACGTGTTGACAAAGTGGCACTGGCGGCCCGAAGCATCATTGGTCTCCTCGCAAGCGGTGATGCACCTCTGAGCATCGAATTTGCCGTCTTGCCAGTACCTCATGCCCATGTAGGTGTCCTCACCGTTGCAGTCAAGAGGGGCTTCGATGGCAGCACCGAGTGCGTACGCCTCAAGGGCATAGCCGGCAGGGACATCGGGCGTGACAACGTCCTTGACGTAGGCATTGGCGCCGGCCATGACGACGTGGACCTCACGGGTCTGGCCCTCGTTGATGGCGATGTTGGGGAGGATGGTGCCTGACCATAAGTCGCACTCTGGAGGTGGACGGGAAGTTAGTTGATGTCTCACATACTCTTCCAAGGAAGGAACGTACTGATATGAGTCGTAGACTCAGGGTTGGGGCAATGGATGCCGTGAGGAGCATGGGCGGGCTGGCGCTCGAAGAAGATGGTGAAAGCATTGCACTTGGCGTCGTTGTCGCACTCGGCAGCACCTGAAAGTAATTAGTAAACTTTCTGAAGCCATGATGCACTTGTTGGTGTGATGCTCTCCAGTGCGGAGTCGTACTTACACAAATCGACATCGTACGAGTCCATAGTCACGTAGTGGACGAACTGTGATGGTTCATCGTACGTGGTGAGGAGGTTGGAGTAAGACTGGACGTAGCCAGGGGGAGTGACGGCCGATGATGCAGCATCGGAGAAGGGAGTGTAGGCCTGGAAAGCCTCGGGGGTGTCCGGGAAGACTTTGGGGCCAGAACCCGAGAAGAGAGGCTCGCAAACGGACTTGTTGCCGAAGTTGGCGAAGACGGTTGCCATCACCATAGTAAGAAGTCCGAAAAACTGGACTAGAGAGAACATCTTGTCTTTGATGTTCAGTTTGTTGGTAATATATGGAGAGAGAAGAGATGAAGAAGAAAGGAGGAAAGGAGAGGAAGGCAGTATATGTATGAATTCAGCAAGAGTTACGCGAAGATGCTAAGACTTAGATTGTGGTTGGGGACGAAGGCAAGTATCCTCTATCGCCCTTGTTGAGCTGGGTCGTGCCCACTTCATCCATATGATGCAATCGCGAGGCCCCCTTCTCGAGAACAAATTGGCGGAGCGAAGTGCCCACCTTGTGATGAACGCGCGTTCTGTTGGACCTGAACCGCCTCTCAGAAACGGGGGCTGAGCGGTAAATCAACATAAGACGGCCCAGAAGCGGCTTTGTTCTCCATATCGTGGACTGGGTTCCAGATTGTGACTATGAAGGAAGGAGATCGTGTCTTCTTTAGGCACATTGCTGTGGATATTCGCGCAATCTTTTCTTCAACAACTGAACCTTCAAACGCGTATCGAGCTCTGCGTAATCCGATTGACGAGAGTCAAAGTCATTGAGATACTGCAGATCTGTTACAATTATGTAAGAGTTCCGCCGAGACCTAGGAATGTAATGGTACGAGTGGATTGTCAGTAGTACGGCCACGCTTGGGGTGTGATCTGAGCAATGGAAAGGAGCACATGCGCAACACATTCACCAACGCCTGCCCTGGGCCTGAAGATCGTGGTGCATGTAGAAAGCAAAGGGGGGAGCAGCTCGACGAGCGAAGGGCATTAGCTCCACTAGCTCCAGACCCGCTCAAAAACGTCATAGTCTCAACCAACCAGCGATGACCAGACCAACCAACATAGTACTCGCGAATAGCAGCAACAACTTGAGCAAAACCCTCTCAGGATTTTGGTAACGTCGCTTCCTTCTATTACGAAGGTTTCCACTCCCACGACCAGAAAACTAGAGATACGCGCAATCCCGCGGTCATGGGCCGCACCGAAAAATCCCAGGGTCTTGCGCCACCCGCCGTGCGCAAAGATATCCGAGCCAAACAAGCGCGGCACGTGGTGACCAAAGTCGTTCCTGCAATATTGGCATCAAATGTAAGAGCTAGGCGAGGTGCGGACGGAAGTGAGCTTATTCCGAACCCGGGGCCGAACGGCACGGTGGGGCAGGATAGTAAGAGTAGGGTTGGTGCACGTGTTGAGGGTGGTGAAGATACGGGCTATGTGAAGAGGAAGGGTCAAGGGAGGCGGAAGGTCAAAGGTGGGAAAGACGACGTTGAAGAGGAGGATGCAAGGAATGGTGATGTGGGGAGAGATGTTGGCAAGGGAAGAGGAAAGGGAAGAGGCAAGAAACGCAGTGATTCTCTCGACAAAGGGCTATCAAATCTCAACTTGAATAGTACCGCAACATCATCACCCGATCCATCCAGGAGACCGCGATGCATACGCATGATAACGACGGATGCCCTCACAGCTGCACACATGCTAGCCAACCCCTCATTATACGATGCGACCACCACATCAAAGCAGACGTCGAAGAAACAACCCAACCCATGCATCTTGAACATGGCCTCTCCTCTCCGTCCAGGCGGCGGTCTCCTAACAGGCGCCACTTCCGCCGAAGAATCCCTTTGCGCACGCACAACGCTGCTGCCCTCGCTCAAAGAATCCTTCTACCGCCTCCCCGAATACGGCGGCATATACACACACGACGTACTCGTTTTCCGCTCTGCTCTCCCTCTTGGCGATAGCGCCGGTGAGCTGTCTCCGACTGAGCGCTGGTACGTCGACGTCATCAGTGCGGGGATGTTACGATTTCCTGAATTAGAAGGAGAAGAAGATGAAGAGAAGAGATTAAGCAAGAAAGATAGGGAAATTGTAGAGAGCAAGATTAGGAGTGTGTTGAGGATAGCGGAACAGAAGGGGGTTAAGGTGTTAGTGCTTGGGGCGTGGGGAGTTGGAGCGTATGGTAATCCGGTAAGAGATGTTGCAGAGGCTTTCGCGAAGGTCTTGGGTGGTGGTAGCTTTGCTCCTTCATCTGGAGGCAAGAAGAACAACAAGCCGCCATCGACTGGCGCTGAGACCTTTCCATCTATCGAGAACATCATCTTTGCTATTCCCCAACGCAAAGTCGCCAACGATTTCGCAGCTGCATTCGGCGGCAAGCTTGAAGTCGAAGAAGGCCCTGGAGCTTCTGGCGACGATAATGACGAAGAAGATGACGAGGAAGATAAGGTAGCAGAAGAGTTGAGGAGCAAGATCCAAGAGATGGACGGCCAGATAAGTAAGGTTTGGAATCCAGATCTGAAAGCAAGGCTTGGTACTATCCTGGATGGGCTGAAAGCCCAGTTAAGGGAGAGGGAGGGGACGCCTCGGACGGGTAGTGTGGATGATGAGGAGGAAGATGGGGACGGAGACGAGGACGATGAGGATGAGGGAGACACTGAAGAGAGCGATGAGGCAGATGCAGATGACGATGATCAAGACCTCGCTGGGTACAGGCACACGAGACCTGGCAAGTTGAAAAGTTTAGTTGATGACAGCGATGACGATGATGACGATTAGCTCAGCTCTAGATATCCCGAGCAATGGAGTCGACTGTTCCAAGAGATTTATCACCACAGGACACGGACATTAGGACGTTGCTAGTAAGAATACATTGGTGGGTATCTCAAAACTTCTATATGCTCGGACTTTTATATGTAAATGTAGCACATTTCAATGCGTCAACGATCAGGCGGCAGCACTAGCAGCAGCCGGTTCTTTCGACACAGCTGCTGAATTTGTATCCTTGGTGCCGTTTGTGGGTGTCTCCTTGTTGGGCTCATCGTCCTCCAACCCCAGCTTCTTGAGGTCCACGGCCAAAGGATCAGACTCCGCTGTGCTTTCTGTAGGGCCTTCATATCCAGGTGGTGGCAACGCCCATTCAGGCAAGCCAGTCTCATAGTCCCACTTCCCTTCTTCACACCTGTATCTGCGCGCGTGCAGGTAGATACCCAACTCGTGCACACCCGGGTCGCTATACAGGTCTGTATCGCACACTTTGCATTTCTCCCCGGTCATTCGCTCCGCTTTCCTTTTGTTGTAGGCATCGACCATTTCGTCGTGGTATGCGACTGCATCGGCGACTTCTTCCTTGCCCATGCGCGAGAGGCGGGACATGATGTCTTCGTCGTCTTCGTCTTCGGATTGTCCGCGGCCGAGGGTGGGGCCGAACACGCGCTGATTGGCGTATATGGGGTCGTTCGATATGGGATGGCCGAGGAACTGGAGGTGGACGCGGAGCTGGTGGGTGCGGCCTGTTACTGGCATGCAGCGCACAATGGAGTAACCGCGGAGTTTCTTCCACGGCTGACCGTTGGGGCCTGTCTCTCCATCCTGCTTCTCGCCATTATTTCCGTCGTCTTTGGGCGGGTAGTATGCCAACCGCTTGAAGACCGTCTTCGCTTCCTTGCCGTTTGCGCGCACGCGGTTCAAACCGAGCTTCGGGCTGATCTGTAAGATAGGCTTCTCGCAGAGGATCTCTCCTTCTGGGAACTCGCCTACCACTCGCGTGATGTACTCCTTCTTGACCGTCCTCCCTCTGATTTGTGCACTCAGCTCCTCTGCCGCCTGCTTGTGCTTGCCAATGAACATAATGCCGCTGGTGAGCCTGTCGAGTCGATTACACGGCAACGGGTTCCAGGTATAGCCACGGTCGGCCCTCATGATCTCGATGATGGAGTTGAAGTTGTAGCGGCCGGCGGGGTGTACGGGCATGCCGGCGGGCTTGTTGATGACGATCATGTTGTCGTCTTCGTGGACGATGCCGATGGGCTGCGCGGTGCACGGAGGCTCGTGGCGGTGGAGGGTGTGGGATATGACATCGCCGTTCTTGACTATCGTCTTCGTGCTCGGGACTGGCTGGCCATTGATAACTACGCGACCCTCTTCTATGGCCTGCTTGTAGTACTCGGCTGGGCGGTCGCGGAACTCGCTAGAGAAGATGTCGAGAATTTCCCTGCCCCGCCATCTTTCCTTGCAGAAAGTATTGTATGTGAAGTGGTAGGGCGTGACCTTGCGCAGGCCATCTTCGAGGTAGTATGGGCGCGGCCAGGGATCGCAGGGCGTGATTGCGACGGCGGGGGGCTCCTTCCAGGGAAATTTGTCGTCGGGCAGGGGCGGGTATTTGTCGCGCGGGGGCGAGGGCACTAGGGCCATGGAGGGAGAGCCTGTGCTCGTCTTGGGCACAGGCAGGCGGCCCTTGGAGGCGAGGTATGCGAGGATGCGCGGAGAGGGCGCCAGAATCGCGGGGGAGAGTGGTTGAGGTGCGTGTGGGAGAATTCCATGCTGCGCAAGCCGAGGCTGATGGGTGACGCAGCCAACTAGCCCGTCGACTTCATGTCCGAGACGCGTCTTCCTCCAACACCAACCACAAGCAGAGACAACATGGCACAGCAGGCATTGAAGTCGCGTATACGGGGCGACTACAAGTTTCAACTCGAATACAGGACAAGATGGTGCGTTTTCTCGCGCGAGGCCCTTGTCGGTACTGACAGTAGGAAGGAGCGACAATGACATGTACCACCACATGAACAACAGCGTCTATTACTATCTGTATGTCTTCAATACCAAATGGGATACTGATACTGAGTATTTGCAGATTTGACTCCGTAGTCAACACATACCTCATACAGCACTGCTCACTGCACCCGCCTACCTCTCCACAGATCGGCCTCGTTGTACATTCGCACTGTGATTACCTCGCCCCTGTCGAGTTCCCCTCCGTCGTAGACCTAGCGTTACGAGTCAACAAGCTTGGGAAGAGCTCCGTCACGTACGAGATCGGCGTCTTCGAAAGGGGTCAAGACGAGGTCAAGGCCGTCGGCGAGTTCGTTCACGTCTTCGTGGACCGCGACAGCCGCCGACCTGGAAAGGATGGCATGAGTGACCAGCTCAAGACTGGTCTAGAAAAACTGCTGGCGGAGAAATCAAAGCTGTGATATACCTTGGCATCAGAGCTGCTGAGCTATGCATACAACAACACCCACAACCCAGCCATGTTGGCTGTATGGGGACCATTCCTACAGTCCTTGGAAGAGAATCGATTACGATTCGCCGTCAACCGGAATCACACCAGATATCAGCGAAGAGACACAGGCGGGGTATCGGTTAGCCATACTCCGGCAATGTATACCCGATACTCCAATCCTGCATTGCGTTCAGTTGTCTCCAGCACTAGAGATGGGGTTGCAAGACATACATCCTCACACCAAAGTCCAGCAGTTCTTCTCGCATCGTATTGTCTTTACTTTCATCCTACAGCTCAAATTCTCAGCTTCGACACCTCAAAGAGACAACACCATGTCCACCTCCGCAATCCAAGGCCCCGGCATCCTCTTCGTCCGCTCCCGCATCTCCCCTTCCGCCAACGAAATACTCTCCGAGCCCACTTTTCTCGCCTGGTACGACAATGAGCACATCCCTGAAGTAGTCTCTACATCGGGCGTCGACTCTGCTTTCCGCTTCATTGATATCCACAAGTCCGCACCTATTGGCAACGAGCAGAACCCGAAGCCATTTCTGGCATGTTATCCCATGGAAGACTTGGCCTTTACGCTGGGTGATGAGTTCAAGAACATAGGGTTCAGGAGTAGTGCGCTGCCCGGTAGTGGTGTGATTTATGATTTGGCGGATATGGATGTTATTTACCTGGGTATTGTGGGTAAGACACCGAAGAGAGAAGAGGGCGAAGGAGGTCGGCCGAAGTATGTGATCACGTCAGGTATTCGACCTGAGAAGCAGCCAGCAGAAGGACAGGTTACTGCGTTCTTCAAAAAGGTATGTTCTTTCTGTGCCACACACACTGAGTGTTTTGAAGGAGGGTCAATACTGATATTGATGTTCTAGCAAATCTCCACACTCGAAAAGTCGCCAGACTACATGCGCACACTCCGCTTCAAACTCCTCTACGCGAGGACGAATGCGCAATCCCGTGCTCTGAAGGGCCTGCCGACAACAGATGAACCACATCCCGAACCCTCGACCTGGCTGGCTATGCATAAGTTTGCGGGCGTACCTGACGAAAACTTTGTGAAAGCGCTGAGTGATGGTGTGAGCAAGGCTGCTGAAGAAGGTGGTTGGGGCGAGACGGAAATTGAGACGCTTGTTTGGAAACTAGATCGTGTGCATGGAGATGGGAAGTTCTTTGAGTAAGACAATGGTAGATTCGAGTTGGCAAGGATAAAGTTGTTCTTGTGCGATGCAAATGATAAATGCGTCAGAGATACAAAGCAGTACGTGAAGCGCTACAGATACCCCGTATTTCCCTTCGAACCCATTTCTTCTTTTTACGGTACATGATCAATACCACTTAATGCTCATGTCCATGCTCATGATCATGATCATGGCCATCCCCCTCCTTCTCATCCCACGGATGCCCCTCACCAACACCCTCCCACGGATCACCCTTCCACGTCATCCAAGTCTGATGGCCGCTAACATTCGCCTCCAACTCCCCACACCTCCTCTGCTCCCAACTCTCTTTCCCTGCTACAACAGCCCAATGTTTCTGCGCCCTGCCCGCCCAGTACTTCGCCCGATCCTCGATCCCGAAACTACTCCACGTATACGCCAGGATCTCTTCGTACTGGGGTAGTTCGGTTAGGAGCCCTTCCTCTTCTAGGTGCTCAATGAGTTTGGGGAGAAGGCCGAGAAGCTGCGGTGAGTCCTCTGGGTCGGTGGGTAGAACGGATTTCAGCGCTTTGATCTCTGAGAGGCGGTCGTTGGATGCCATTATTGCGTCGTCGTCTGCGGTGCATAGAGGACAGGTGCAGGTGAAACCGAAGTTTGCTTCTATAGACTTCACGCGACGCCGGCGAGCACGTCTTTCGAAGCCATCTAAGCAGTAATTAATTTGGTATTTCCAGTCATATCATTGTGAGGTGGTCACTTACAGCTTCTCGTGATCTCTTCTCCTGGCTTAATGTCCTTGAGAGCGAAGACTTCAAATGAGAGGGTGTAGTCGTCGAAACGCCATAGAGTGTTAGGTCGACAAGCATGATTGATGCGCTGTATTGAAGTTAGCATATATTTAAAGGCAAGTCTATCGGTCATGACTTACCGCAGCCTCGGGAATAACTGCCAAAAGCTGGGGCAGCTCGTCAACCCATGGCCATTTCACAGCAATGCCGTTCGTCACGACAATGTCTTCGACGGTGCCATCCACATTGACGTCCAATCTCTTGACCATCTCTCTAGTCTTTTCCGGCAAATGATCGACTGCCTGCTTCAACACGAGCTGTGGCCTCGGCATCTCCGGTATTTCCAGTATCTGTTTAGCGACGAACAGCACAGGAGTCTGCACGATCAAACTCTCGCCTGGAAAGATCCCGGCGATATCTTTCTTTGCAAACAACCCTTTTCCCTTCTCTCCCGCGTATCTTACCTCCCACATACCCATCTCTTCTCCCACCTGACCTTCCATGCCTCCAATGCTCATGCCAAACGTCTCCATCGTCACGCTAGCCGCGACCTCGGGGCTCACAACAAAGCTTATTCCGCGACCGTTGTTGTAGTTGGCATTGGTGTAGGCACAGAATGTCTGATGAACATCTGATCCTGTGCTCTCGTTCTCTTTACTGGGTAGTACGATGTCTACGCATGTAGGGTGATGCGTCCATGGAAAGGTATCGGAAGTGTAGCCATCCTGGGCCACGGGACAAACTGTTGAAGGTTTATTGATAAGGCCGTCTTGAATAACGGGACTGCGTGCTGTATAAAACAGTTCCGCCCTGGTAGTCGACGCGCATAGGAGTGCGGTCGAGACAGCGAGATAACTGGGTAGGTGCCGTCGCCGCGGCCATGTTGCTGTGACCATCTTCCAAGCTTTTTACTGTGTACTTTCTTATTTTTCTCAAAAGATGCCGAAAAGATAAAGAAAATCAAAGAAGCAAGACGTTAACATCTTCGACGTCGGAAGAATTAATCGCGCGAGATAGGAAGCCACGTTTCACGAGTAATCACGAGTAATGATCTCCGAAACCCCTGTTGCTGAAACGTGCTGGCTGCTTGGCGGTTGCGTTGCGCCTGCATCTAGATTGTCTTGGGGATGCATGAGGCCAGTGAGGTTTGGGGCTGTTACCGTCGTTTGATGAGATAGATGATCCGGCAGAGTGGCTGATGTGGGGATGACTAGCTTCAGCGCCGGGAGAGTCGGTTGAATGGCGCACGTGAGCTGTGAGAACATCGCGCCTTCCTACCCTACCGAAGCGAGATCCTCATCCGACGGACCACAACTACATCGTATGATTTCCATGGTGTGCTGAATCAATTTTCGGCGGGTGCGATCATCCCAACGGACCTCATGTCTGGCAGGGGCAACATGCGCACACTGTGAGGTTGCGTCTTGAGGGCTGCGCTTCGACAGCGAGGTTCTGGCTTGCGTAGGCCAAACAAACGTCAGAGACGATGATATGAAGGTTTTACCATCTCAAGTGGGTTTAAAATTCTCTCAAGCACAATGGCAATCACGACCTCTAACAAGCTTCCCAATTGCTTGTAACGCGCAACAAACCCTCGCAAGTATAAGGCACAAGCTGGAGCGCTCTCCACTCTGCAGCCTAAGTGCACAACCAGCGCCCTCAGTATCTAACATGCCTTCAAGAGATCCGCTCCATGCTCGCGTCATAGAGCTCATGGACGTGACTTCTAATCTGATCATCGAAGAGAAGAACCAGCTCGCGAGTAAGTCGTCCAAGCGTTACTGTCCCCTTCCGCGGACGCCTAGTATACAAGAGCTAATATGACCAGATGATCTACGCTTCATCATCACCGTTGTTAAAGGGTACGTCGATACCAATCCACTATCTTTGAATCTGGCCCTGGAGTGTAATACTCATGGCGAGTTTCGCATGCTCTTCGTTCGCGATGATCAGTTCATCTTGGGGAGGACCACGAATACGCGCAATGCGGCATTGGATGGTTTACGACGGACAGTGGAGGAGTTGATTGATGTGTTTGTATCGCGTAACTCTGTCAAGCTAATGGTATAATCGGTACTATCAGATGAACCCTACCACATCTATTCCTACAATTCACTCTCCTTGCAACCTCGACATGTACTACCTCCGCATCTTCCGCCTGTGATGCTCGACCAGATCCTTCTCGAGCACCATAACAGCGTCGAAATGATTCTCCCCGACAGCCTTCGCAATAAATTTCTTCTCCTCCTTTCCATTCACATATAGGCTCGCCTCCACGGACTCTCCGGCTCTACTGCTGATGATCAAGAACTCCTTCTCATCCCTGACCCCGAAATCGGGTTCGTATATGGCACGACCTAACAACTCATTAGTATCGTAAAATACCGTCAAACTTGGACAAACGCCAAACTCACCGACAGCCATCTTTCCTGCCCTCGCTAGCCAAGCCATAGCGAGCGCCTCTCGCTTATCAGGTACCCTTTCATCCTTCTGCTCCGCTAGGTTTCGTATATCCCGCGCCGCTTCCTCATCCTCTTTGTCTCTTTCCCACTCCGGCTCGCATTTGATTCTTGGTCTGATGTTCATGCCGCGGTCCATGTCGGAAGAATTCCATGTGAAGTGCTCGTGTTTCCAGTCGTTTGCTGCTGTTCTGAAGGAGCGGTGTTCGCGGGTGCGAGCGATTTCTGCGGGGTTGTCGACAGCGCGGATGTGCGTGAGATAGTGGCTAGATGAAGACGGTGGTAGGACTTTGACGGTGATGTAGTATGTTGGTGCGATCAAGGCTGCGCCGTGGAGTTGTGCGGGGCTGGTTGGCATGGTTGCGCTTCGGGTGTTGGGAAGTATGCGGCGATTGGATATGTTGGGATCTGCCAGTAGTCAACAGTAGTTGGATTGGTGTGAGTATTAAAGTCAGAAACTCATAGTAGCCACATAAATAGTCCGCTCAGTCAGTGAATTTCATTCCTACTAGCTGGCTAGTGAAGTGTCGCAAACGCTATGCGAACGCGGCTTCAACAATGCACAAGCTTGCACTATATTCCATGTCTGTTTGACAGCTAAAAAGAGCTTCAAGCATCGTGTAGTTTCACATTCCATGTCCCACCTCTTGAAGTTGCGAATCGCGATGCTTGCTTGACAATGATAACTGCGGCGTAGAAAGGAGATGATCATTTCACGCGACGCGTTATGTGTATTTGATAAAGCAAGTTCTTAGTCAAGTACTAGACTGTCTGTAGGGTTGCCTATTGCGGAAAGATACGTCCTACAGTATCTTATATAGAGGATACTCATTCCTCACAGAGTAAAGAAAGTCGTAATGACATATCGTGTAAAGCCGTTGAAGAACGTTCACCAGTGACGATTCTCAGAACCTACGGGTTATGCTAGTCCCACGCCGTGCCATCATCTGAACCAGTACTCACGCCATAGGGAAAAGCTACATGGGGCAACTCCTAGTACCTGCCGCCTGGTGGCGGTTGGCCATACTGCTGCTGACCTGGGTATCCACCGGGGCCTCCTTGGGGCGGTCGCTGCTGGCCATACTGACCTGGTGGAGGTGCTTGTTGACCGTAGCCTTGTGGAGGTGCGCCGGGTGGAGCACCGTATCCTTGGGGCGGATGCTGACCAGGTGGAGCACCGTAACCCTGGGGTGGCTGCTGTCCATAGCCTTGCGGCGGCTGTTGGCCATAGCCCTGGGGTGGCTGTTGGCCGTAACCTGGAGGAGGTGCGCCATACTGGCCGGGTGGTGCGCCGTACCCGCCAGGTGCTGGGTTGCTCTTCTCGTCCTTCGAGTCGTAGCTTCGATCAATGGCACCGAGAAGAAGCTTGATGATCCAAAGATCGGGTGTAAGATCGACAGGAGGGTTTGCGCGCATCATCTCTTCCTGTTCGTTCTCGAAGTCTAATTCTGCGTGAGCACAGGTCTAGTCTGGATGGTATGAGACTTACTGGACGTGCAGTCAACCATGGGGCCAACGTCGGGTTCCTCATCGAGTTGACTGAGGAATTTCCTAGCAGTCACATCGTTTCCTACCTGAGCAAACTCAAAAGCGACTGCACCACGGCCGTAGGGCGTCGACTGAAGATGTCTGTAGGTGTCCCTGATGATATCAAAAATCAAGGTTGACTTCTCACCTGCAGGCTGCCCGTCGGTGATGGCAATGACCAATACTGGCTTCTGCATCTGTCCTGAGCGTGCCTTTGGGAGTACTATCTCATTGATGACCTTCTTCTCCATGGAGGTACCCATGGGTGTGAGGCCCTTGAAGTTGACGCCACGCATGATCTCTGCGACCTGAGCCTCAGTCGCGACGCCATCTTGGAGAGGCCGACCCTGTTGGTCGCGAGCTCCCGAGAGATCGGTGTTCATGCAGCGGACAGAGATGCCATCGTTGTCAAAGAGAGTTGCAGCGAACGAGACTCGGTCCAAAATAAGGCGCAAATCTGTGATACGGCTGCCTTCCTCTTCGAACTGCATGGATCCACTGTCATCTAATGGATGTCAGCTTGATCACGATTCTCGAGCTGAGAAAATTACCGATGTATAGCACGATGTCGTAAAGCGCTAGTTTAACAATGTCATTGGCAATCTCCTTCTGGATCTTCCAGCGCGAGATGACTTGATTGATCTTCGCGGGCGCTTGTTGAGCAATCTGGTCAATATGTTGGCAGATCGGGAAGTTCTGGAGGCCCTTCTCTTGGATGCAGGCTTGCAGAAGCTGCTTGTAGCCCGCGATCTCAGCTGGTCCGGCCTGAACCTGTTGGGGAGGGGGCGGGCCGCCGCCATATCCTCCTTGTGGTGGAGGTGCGCCATACTGGCCCTGCGGAGGCTGTACTGGTGGTCCACCCTAATATCACGTTAGTCTCTGCACAGATCTTCGCGGAAAGTCACTAGCTCTGCGCCTTTGCTCATACGTGGGTTTGAAAATCGAAAAAATCTAAATTAGTACGAACATTCGGTTGGAAAGCGGGCTGCTGGCCGTAAGGTTGGCCATATTGCTGCGGCGCCTGTCCATAAGCGGGTTGCTGTGGTTGGCCCCATTGGCTTTGCTGCTGGTAAGGCTGTTGTGGTGGTTGCTGTCCATACGGCGGCGGGACCTGTGGCTGATTCCACTGCGCGGGGGGCGCTTGACCTGGTTGTGGGGACTGTGGGAATGACGATTGAGAATATGGAGATGAAGGCTGTTGTCCTGGCGGCGGTGGAGGGGGTCTGCTATACCCTGACTGCCCTTGTGGATATGGTGAAGATGCGCCATATTGGGTGGGAGCTGCCGGTTGCGCAAAAGGCGACTGCGGCGGCGCATACGAACCAGGACGCGGAGGCATAGGAGGACCAGGCTGTTGTTGTTGCGCATAAGGATTTGGCGCCTGCCCGGCGTTGGGCTGATAGGCAGTATAGCTAGATGACATCTTGCTTGATAGAGGCATGTGTGGCTAGGTCCAGGAACGAAGTGTGGCGGAAAAAGTCCAGAGTGGATGCCGGGCGTGCGATAATTTATTGGTGCCAAAAGCAAGTGGAGAACTAGGGAAGAGGCTTGCGAATGCCCAGTCTTAAGTAGCGGGTAGGGAAGGGCGATGACGACGCAGAGCAAGTGACAAGAGAAAGAAAGAGCTTTGGGCTTACCCCGGGAGCACCGGCACCTTGGGCACCTGGATACGCTTGATACTGTGGCTGTCCAGGCTACGTTGCATTAGTGAATCATTGCCAACATCACCCTTCACTTGAAGACTTACGTAGCCGCCTTGTCCACCGGGCGGAGGATAGCCAGATGCAGCCTGAGCCGCCTGCATCTTAGATGCGAGCTTCGCCTGGTTAGCTATGACGAAGGTGGGGTGGAGGGGTAGCTAAGGAGCTGGCGATAACATACACCCATCTTTCTATTGCGTGTAATGGTTCTGTTGCGTGACAGAGGATTGAGAAAGTCGGACAAGGCTGATTCTCGAGATAGGATTTGACAAGGTTGAGATGGAAGGTCAGGTTATAATGTATGCCTTGCGATGTTGGCAAGAGCCGAAGCTGACGTGCTTACCTGCTAAGCCCCCGCCGGTGCACCGCCCTAGTCACGTATTGGTTAACGCCACATGGCCATTGTTCATTGCACACCAACACCGTGGCTGTTTGTTATGAAATGTGGGAACGCGTGAGGCTGTGCCTTCGGATAAAGTGACGAACGAGCGGGGCATTATCAGGCAACCGGATTTTGTACCAAACATTCTTGAGGCATGTGAAGCTGGCGTTCAAGGACCCTGCTGCGCCTCCACTCGATCCGACCGACAGTTACAAGTGCATATACATTTGCACAGCGCCCGCAGCTTATAAGGGCAATATATGCGCATGGGGTTTTAAGTTTTGTAATATTGTGCGTTCCAACACGCTCATGTTTGGATCGTTAAAGCATAGCAAACGTTCAGAATCTTGGTGTGCGCCGGTGCATCTCAAGAAATTCCAGGTTCCGCTCAAGGTGAGCTCGGGATTTTGGACGGTGTCACTGAATCAAGGCACTAATTCTGCTTTCGCTAGAATAAATGGGGTCGAGGTACTCAAGCATGTACGAAACCACATTGTAGCCCATTACACTGCTTTGGTGGTTATCTCATATCGTTCCAAGGTGGTTTCGAAGTAGTTCGCTTTACTTCCCACGCTGATCTCGTAACCATCGAGCGTTTCAGGCTCACTCAATTCCCCACTACGCTCTGCTGCGAGAGCATCTCCAAGTATCGTACCAAGCTGAGCCTCATCTAGAACATTCACTCGATGAAAGTCCATTAGACTCGGGAGACCGCAGTACTTGAAGCGAATCTTCTTGCTTAGGGCCGAGCTATGCAGACTTCCATGGTCTAAGATGAAAGCAATGCCTTGAACTTCGTAGCGTGTCTCTGGTGGAGTGCAATGGTAGTCCTTATATACCTCCAACACTAGGGCGTTGTGCAAATCCGTTGCGCCGGTGAATACAGCAAGTCTTGTACCTTCGGCCAAGATTTGCTGGCCTGAGAGATATGTTATGGGGTGAGTGGCCTCGCCAGTGTCGCCTTTCTCTGCGACTCGTTGCATCGAGGCCCAGCAGTCTTTTGTGTTCTTGGTGATCGCGGAAGACATTATATCAACCATGCTGCAACATAGATTTAGATGGCCTCGGCTTTGTCTAGTCGCTCGATGTCGCGACTGTTGGGTAAGCGCATTGATGAAGGCTCTTTGAGACAAAGCCACGGCGGCTTCACTGGAAGTCACCATCCGGCTACCCAGCCAGCGGTACTTCAGAAAGTTGTTGAGCGCACCCGTACGTTCCGACCCTGCATTGAGACAACTTACGGCGTTCTGAACATCTGGTGGTAAGGAAAGCTGGACTCCTCTCCTAGTATGATACCAGTACTCATATCGATACGGAAGGTAGAGCACATCTGTAGCGTGGAGAAATTGTAGCGATGCAGTTACCTCGAGCCCTCGAGCCAGTACAAAGCTGCTATCTCTAGTACCCGGTGCCACCTCAAGACTATATCTTGCAATGTCTTCGCGATCCAGATTCAGTACGCGACGGAACAGATTGAGAAAGTCGCGCTCTTTCCACAGATCCGGTTCCCCACTTTCGCATTGGTTTTGCAGCAGACTTACGAACAACTGCTTGGTCGATAAGTTGTAGTCGGGTATGAGACGATGCGAGGTCCTGGGATTCTGAGAGGCAAGACCCAGCAGTGCATATATCTTGTCGTGAATAACGCTACACTTCGACCTGGAGAACGATTCGATCAACCACCGAAGCTCGAACGCTAGCGGCCAATCCCAGGCGGTGAGATACGGTAGGGATATCTTCGGATCTCCGTAGGCTCGATACTCTCTCCGAGAGTATAGAAGTTTCCACCCTGGAATATGTGGAGTCTCCATGCGAATTCGGTCCACTCCCATCACACGGCTCAGTTCGTCTGCATCTGCACGGTACTCGCCTAGCCAGACTTCTAGGACTTGGGGCAATAACGCTTCTTGAATAACCCACATGCGCTCCCAGTATGGCTTGTGCAGGATATCCGCTATAGTCTTGTGCGTCCATCCGCTACCAAGATGGCGATCGGGTACAAACGGATACGCCACAGTTTCCTCGGGGGTTATCTCTCCCAGCCATGCAATGACTGATTTCGCTGTCGAATATAGGTCTCGCATTTTGGTGATTTGTTGATTACGCTCTTCGATGTCATCTTGGTTGATACCTTTCTCCGAACATTAGCGCTATTAACTAATCGCATTGACACATACTCACAAATGGCATCAATCCATAGAGCAGCGTCACCACCTATGTTCCAAGAGCGAAAACGATGAAGGAAGTCCCAAAGATTCTTTCCGATCTCGATGTCCACACCATTGCATTGTACATTGCGTTTGCCATTGTCAAGAGACCAGGTATACGACAATGCGTGGTAAGGCAGACCATCGCGGAGGTTTGCATGTAAGAGTAGACATCGAAGGGGTTCGTGAGTATCCCCGGGATATACTCTGAGCAATCGAATGGTGTTATTATTCGGATCAAGAGGTCTGTATAAGAAGGGCGGCATGCCGCCTGTGAGGCTGTCCAAAGCGGGGCCGACCAGGTAAAAACAGACTGCCTGCGCTCCCTTAACCTGTAGCTGAACTTAGAGAAATAGATGGGATTCGGGCCACCAAGTTTCCAGTAATCTCAGGCTGCGTGAGGCGTGTGTTATCATGAGTGAGGGGTTCGGACGCCGATGAGGGCAGCACATGTTTGAAAAGTAACAGTGCATGACTTGTGCATATGCTGTGACACAGTGTGTGATTGCCACGTTGTCAGCGAATCCAATGCCGGTCTTATGACGAAGAGTCGCGTCGAATCCTTAGCGAGTGGGCGGATGCAGGTGTGCTGGGGGATGGGCGCTTAGTTGTTTGTACCCGTTTGTAATACACCGAGTGGGTTTCCCAAGTACTGGTTCTGTACTTTAGCTGATAAGTAATAGAGGAATAATTCTTGCATAGTGTTGAGGCATATCGTTCTAAAGCCTGCTGCGCATCTGTGTAGCTGTGCTGAGCGGTAGCCTAGGGGGCGGGCATGCGGTGACGAAAGAAACCGTGTCATGTCTCGGAATACTTGCTGGCTACAATCTTGATTAGACCACCTTTTTGTGTACCTTCCTCATTCAATGAATAACGTTACTGCCAAAAGGTATGTGAAACTAGCAGGATCGCGTGCTCTTCTTTTGGCGCAGCGCAGTTTTGAGGAGTGGCGACGGCGATCACTATCATAGCTACATTCGTCTCGTATTAGGCCATCGTGTATCTTTATAAGTGCGAATCGTTATAATAGGCAGAATCAGAGATCCGATACAGGCCGTCGAGGGGGAAGCCGCCACCAGCCGTGTCGGCGGGCGATGCCCCGCGGGCCGCAACCCCGCCCGCCCTCAACTCAATCCATACATACGATCATGCACTCGTGCATACACTATTTACTTCACGTGCGGAGACAGTCCTTGATGACCTGCTCAACTTTGCGTAAAGAAATTTCTTGTCCTCATATTAGCATCTGTGATCCAGCAGTCAACATTCTCGCGTTTGGCTTCGCGACAGTCGGCTTCTTGTTTCTCGCTGATAAATCCAGACGCGATAGCCTGCACGATGGCTCACCAGCATCTCATCGAGGACCGGTTTTGACTATCGGACTGCGTATCATGCAAAGTCTTACTTTCGGCTGGGTCCTCTGGAATCAATAAATTCAGTGGACATGGGAAAAGAACTCACCGGTTCGAGGGTGATAAGACTGCCAAATATCAGTGATCAAAGTGAGTGGTGTTAGAACGCACGTACTGAAACATCCGACAGGCTTTGCAAATTCTCACAATCCTTCCTACATACATATCACGAAGCAGTGATATATGAAAGCATCGATCCGATTGCGATATATGAATCAAGCACGATAGGAGGGCTTCATTTCTCAATTTGATGTTAACCTCCTGTCCGTCTATACCCTATAGCAAGACCACTTGTCCCATCCACCATCACACCAAGCATACACGTTGCTGCCGTACTGCCTCGTACATGCTGCAGGAGTGTCGACATTCAAGACTATACCGACGTTGAGGGCTCCACCTGAGCATCGCCAGTCGTTGCATGAATTTCCAAGGCTGTGTGTAGCAGTCAAAGGCAAACCATACTGCTCACGGCAGGCCCGGGGCAGGCCCGGGGCATGTCTATGCCGCCGAGTCTCTGGCCAGCTGCCGCTGCAGCAGCTGCTGGCGCGACGAGCGCTGCTGGGGCGCCAGATGCTGGCCCGGCGAGGAGGCCGAAGCTGATAATGGCACCGAGAACTGTAGTGTGGGTAACCATATTGTTCCCTGTACACAGACGAGTGGAAGTTAGTAATTGGAGAGATAGGTTTCTATGTCTCAGTTTGGGGAAAGGAAAGATCTCGCTACTGCCACATACCTAGGTATCTGATGAAGACTGATGCGAACAGGTAGATCGTGGCTGGGTCTTGAAATTTGTGAGATGGTCGCTGTGTGCTCGGTGAGTGGGTGACTATGGAGGGGAGCTACCTAGGTATTCAAGGTGAAGAAGAGTAGTTCTTATAGTGATTTGCTCCTGCTTCGAACATGCGCCTTCATGTAGGTCGTCCAGGCATATTGATTACTAGCCACGTCACAACTGTCGACCAAATGATCTTACTTGTACGCTAGACGTTGGAAGGGAGGGGAAGGGGGTGGGTCTAAGATCGTTTATGCTACTATGCGGCGCAGCTTGGTGTAGCCGAAGTAGTGATAAGCAGACGCAAACATATGTGGCAAGGCTCTCGACCTTGGAGCATATCGTCTTCCAAATCCGGACGTTATACAGCTACCATTATAAGCCCGCATCACCTATTAACTCTTTCTGGTCCCCTTACGCACCCCGCCCTGAACCCCATCCCTTCCATTAGTCCGCGCACATTCTGGCCTTCTGCTGCTAAACAGTGCATATACGGCAAATTGGTGTATGTCATCAGCCTTGCAAACTCTGTGTAGAAGTCTTGCTTACGTTTGCGTTCTTCAAATTCGTAAACGCGACAAACCGGAATGAAGGCTGCGAATGAACACTCGCCAAGTAACCAATACACAACTCGTGAGAATGGATGTGTTTTGGCATCCGAAAGACCTTGCAAAGTCCTCGTTGAAGATGGACCGTGAAACAGTGGGACGTAAAGCCATCAACTCGAAAGCGACATGTCAACCACAAACGACAGGAAGAATGTGAATTTGTATGTCCGTCTATGCCTTGTAGCAGCCCCAGCTGAGCGCATCCCCATTGCACCGAGCATACACTCCAGCCCCATATTGATTAACGCATGCCCGAGGAGTGTTGACGCCCGTCTTAAAATTAGTATACGCATCCCAGCACTTCCAACCGTTGCATGTACTATCAAACCGAAGAGCTCTCCACTGAGGTCCAATCTCCTTTATACAATAGGCGTCCATGTTAATGCCCTAAATCATCGATGTCTGAAGTTAGTGTTTGTCTCACCAAGATTGCTTAAATGGGAGAATTTACCCCCAGGTATTCGCCTGCTGCTGCTGCTGCGGCAGTGGCGGGTTCGGCAAGGGGTGCAGGAGCAGCAAGGGCTACAGGATCGGCAACTGCTGCTGGAGCGGCAACTGTGGGCGAAGCGAAGAGACCGAAGCTGATGATTGCGCGGATAATAGTGGTGTGAGTGACCATGTTGGCGGGTGCGTTCTAAGTAAGATTAGCCATTGTAAAGGCGTGCGTATATACATTGAAGTACATATGTCGTAGATCGTGCTGAAGGAAGGGACTCGTTACTAGGACATACTTGATGAAGATCGCTGTGGACAGGCGTACGGTATCTAGCTCTTTCAATCTATGAAGGGTCTGTTGCGTATCAGAAGAATGAATGGGGATGGGAAGGAGCTGTTCGAGACGAAGAAGAGCCATTCTTATAGCAATTATATCATCTTTGAACATACGCTTCTATTAGGTCGTCAGGGCGTAAGGCGTATTCTTTGTCGCCCGGTTCGAAGTATGGACTAGGCTATCCTCATCGCAGGCTAAAGTTCTGGGGCGTAAGCTGAAGTGACATAGACCGGCATGCGATGCACTCTGGTGGAGTGCCGTTCATGCTGACATGCAGCATAGCTTAGAAAAGACAGGTGAGTCTATTGACAAGCGGCCCGATCCTATGTAGCAAGTCTGCTGGAGCTAGATGCACTTTTTAGTAGATAGTATTGAGACAGTACTGCTTATCTATCTGCTCTGGGCTTTGGCGTTGACAGAGTGTCGAGCCTGGACGGAGGTGAACTCAGATGGGGAAGGTCTGAGGTTAGGCCCTCCGTAGGATTCGAGTGCGGGGCCAGCCGAGCACGCAGGGACTTACATACTAAGCGTAGGATTGGTTCTGTTAAATAGACTTTTCTGTCGATGTTAGCGAAGGCTGGTGAAGGATGCTCACTACAGCATCGTTTAAGGTTTGTGGTTAGAAAGTGTGCCGCTTGCAAGGAAAACCCCACCAATCGTTTCTTGGGTCGCGACCTTACAGTAAACCTCTGAAATTCTTCATATGTCGCGCAATAGAAGCGGACAGACTCCAATGACAGGCCACGTTTGAGATCATCGCTAGGTTTCCATGTGTATCTCGTAGTGATGCAGAACGAAAGAAACTCCACGATGAAATTCGCAGGAGAATTGTGGTTTACCGCTCGGACTGAAATCATCCGTCAAACAAGCAGATACGCATTCTTTCTGCTCAATAAGTCTGTGCTGCCTCATGTATTACTCGAACTGATTGCGGCTAGGATCAGGCGCAGCGTATCCTCTCCTGAGAAGGAAGCTCTGCAGTCTATCCTCAACTCTCGCAAACTACAATTCCGTTAGCCTCAAAGACATGATTTGCGACTCCGTTAGGTCACTATTTAGGATGCGCTCTCTGAGCTGAAGCACTTACAAAACCCCGTCCCTGTACTCCATCTCTGACCCATACTCCATATCCACCCATGAGGTTTGCCATCATGACGTCCGTGGACAGGCGATCTCCTACTATCGCGATTTGATCTGGTCTGGTCACACCAGAGTCTGGATGTGCCCTGAAGTAAGCCATGACCTCTTCCTTACAGCCAGGCTTCTTGGTGGTATGTCGCAACACTTTGACACCGGTGTTGGCCTCCAAGACA